ATACATTTTCTTAATATGATCCATATTCCTTCACAGTGCATGCAATGCACCTGCCACACTGTAACGCATGTTAGGTGTGTCGCACAGTATTGTGTGTTATTTGCTGCTGGGCAGGAAACTACACATGCCGAATCCCAACCCCCGCACCTACCATTTTAAGTTCCTATTTTTTAAAAGTCCATGGGCAGGAGCTGCAGGAGAGAACATGGAGAAGGAGCCCTGACATCATTGGTTGCTAGGACCATCCATCAGTCCTAGCAACCAATGACTGCAGAGGAGAACCTCTGACATCATTCGTTGCTTGGAAACCACAAGGACTGAAGAGAAATGCAGTCTGAACATGGACCATTCATCATCTTTCACTGGGCTATGGCTTGCAGTGGTTGTACCCAATCAGTCAGCCATAACGGAGTACGGGTCGTTGGGCCTGACAGCTGCAGACCAAGGGCCGGATACGGCCAACAAGCCATGAAATGCCCAGGTCTACCCTAGACCAAAATGAGCACTTAACCTTTCCAGTGTGGGGTGAGCCTTACTGCAAGGGTTAAGTTTGATTCTGTGCAAGTGTCAGATTCTTTCCCAGTATTGTGGAGGTACAAAGCCATTTTATTATTATCCCCATCCCTACCTGCAGGGGGTCATACTATGGGACATTTTATTATACACATCTGATTAACCTCTCCCCGGTTGATGGGTGGCTAAAGGGACATTCAACTAAGGACATTGGAATGACCCCGTACCACAGGCAAGTACTCTCCTCATAGGCCGTAATACAGTAATACCTTGGTTTAAGAGCATAATTCGTTCCGGAAGCATGCTTGTAATCCAAAGCGCTTGTATATCAAAGCGAATTTCCCCACAGGAAATAATGGAAATTCAGATGATTCGTTCCACAACCCAAAAATATTCATATAAAATGATTACAATACTGTACTGCAATATAATACTGTATAAAATATAAAGAAAAATAAACCAATTACCAGTACCTTCGTGGCTGGTGTGAGGGGGACAAGAGAGAGGAGGATTATTGTGCAGGACGACTTTCACCATCACTAACGGAATCACTGCTATCTCTTGACTCAATGGAATATTTTTCATTTTGCGAAACCTTAACAAGGAATCTATCCAATGTGACATTGCATTGTCGTTAAACAGATTCATCGCTCGCACTGCTACAGCCTTATTCTGGTGGCGCTTTTCTACAAAATTTTGCTCTTATTGCAAGACATTTGCTTGTATATCAAGGCAACATTTTTCAGAAATGTTTGCTTGTCTTGCAAAACGCTCTCAAACCAAGTTACTTGTAAACCAAGGTATTACTGTACTTATTTTACATTTTAATGAAAATTAGAAAGATGTAACCTTCAGCTCTTCATACTGCAAGTTCTGTACTGAGGTTGACCATCATCATCATCCTCCAAAGAGGGGTGTAATGGGATGTTGGGGTGTCTCTGGTGAGGTGTTAGCATTGGTGGGGTGGACTGAAGGAATAAAGTATTGGTGAGTTTAGTTTATCTTTGTTTTAAAACCTTTTTCAGTAGCAAGTTTAAAGTTCTAAAGAATTACCAAGAGCTGACGGCTCTCAAATCATGGTCATCCTCTTCACCAGGGTTGTAATGTCCCAACAACAAGTTCCAGATAAATTGCAATGTTTACATTCATGTTACTTTATTTTATAGAGGTAGCGGTGTGGGATGGATTCTTCCTCCTTGGCCAATCACCTTTGTGGGGTGGTACCCTGTCAGGTGTGAGGAAAGTTCTTACCTCTGAAGTGACTTTAGGTTATATGGATTTGCCGGTTCTGAAGGCTGGGTTGGAGTTAAAATTATCAGGACCACCGCATCATTCTGATCACAGCGAATCCAAACTAGACATGACTGCCTTGGGCAGGGTCCATATAACCATTTGGTGGGTCATTGGGTGGTTCTACAAGACCAGGCCATGGCATTTTGTATCTGTATGCAGCTCGTACTATCAGAAGGAATAACTCTCATCTCCCCTCACTTACTAATGTAGATCTTATGGGAGATGAAACATATTCCCTCTGACCTTTGAGACACGAGTAATGATGTCAGTGCAATGCTCCAAAGTGGAATGAGTTTTCCCTCCTTTCTGATTTGCAGTCGCCAAGTCTGGAGGAACGTTTGATGGCTTGCTTCCAGTGAGGTGATAGTTGTCCACCTTTATCTACAGCCACAAGTCTACAGGATCTTGTCAGGGAGCCGGAGGGGAAGTTTTAGTCAGAGACTCATTAGCACAGAGGTGTGAATTCCTCAGATGTCCAGGTCCAAGATGCCTATTCAGATTTTGAATGATGAACATATCTGTAATATTATCATCCCACATTCTATATCTAATGTTACAATACAAAACACATGTAATCAGGAAATCACTCCGCATGTACTTGCTCCGTGTTGTGTTTTGTCTGGAGTTCTCTTTTCAAAAGATGCGAACAAGTCTAACCGTCACTACATCATGTGACCAGAACACTCTCATGTATGGAAATATCATTTCATTCTATAGACATTTAAACAGAAGTTGTAAGACCAGTTCAGCCTCATCCTGTGCAGAACAATGTGAGGCGTGTCCTCTGGTTTCTGAGAATCCAAAACTTTCGTTTCTCTCTTCTGATGTCAGCGATGGCGTCTGCTGATCTGAGACAGGAGCTGGACTGTTCCATCTGTCTGATCACTTATACGGATCCTGTAAACCTGAGATGTGGACACAACTTCTGTCAGGTCTGTATTGATCGTGTGTTGGATACACAGGAAGAGTCTGAATTATATTCATGTATTTAGGGCAGAGAAAGGTCTAGGAGTCATTCTGCTCTGCAGAGAAACATAAACATATATAGCTCTGACATATTCCTCAGCGCTGTACAGAGAACACTGAGACAATCACATCAATCCCTGTACAGAGGAGCTATTTCCGCAATGCTGTTATCACAGATCAGCTCTGCAGTTGATCTTCTACGTTTAGTTCTACACACATGCAAGGTTGTCCTGTACCCAGCAGCTTCATAAACATATATGAGGAGGAGTTATCAAAACTAGAGCAGAGAAAATCTGGAGCCGTTCCCCATGGCAACCAATCGGCTTCTATGTTTCATTTTCAAATCTTAACTGAACAAACTGAAGAGATAAGCTGATTGGTTGCCATGGGCAACTGCTCCAGATTTTCTCTGCTCCAGTTTTAGTCTTCTCCTCCTTGGCTGTTGCACTAGTCTGGTAGTTTTAGGTGTCACCCGGCCACAGCTGCTGATAGATATAGAAGTTTCTCAGATAGTCCCTACCAGTACTTCCAACGGTTCATCCGGAATCCATGCCAGTACTTCCAGAGTTCTTTGAAACAATGCTGGACGTGTAATCTGACCAAAAGTGTATTTAGAAAGTATGTAATACAAGCACAACAAAGCCAGGACCAATCCACACCACCAGGGTCAGGTGAATTAACACAGACACCCTCCAGTACGCAAGCAGTCACAGGTATCGGTGGCGCCATGTAAACTATAGGCTGATGCGTTTCCGGGGCATGCACAGACCCACACAATTTTAAAGTAAGAGATGTTAAGTATTTATTTTCTTGCTGCAAAATCATCCATTATATTATACAAAAAGACTGAGCGTTATAATGTGTTTATGTGCAGCAAAATGTATTCAAATCGAATGTTTACTGAAAATTTGGGTTTGATAAAAAGGCTAACATCATGTGACATAAATAAAAAATAACAACTGCCAACATTTTATTCTACAAGGTCTCTGCTTTCAGGAAATATATAATTCTTAGGTGGTTTCAAGTAATCTTCAGGCCTAAAATGTGCATTTTAGGATATGTGCAAAAAGTGCTATGGCAGCGAAAGGGTCAAATGATTTTTTAACTTTCGAAAGTGCCCTCTAAGTCACATAAAAAGATCCTCTCTCCGCAGCATGGATTTAATTATTTTTACCTTTTTTCCAGTAGAACATGTCCCCCATGGCAGTGACTAGCTTCTCATGCATTTCATGGCAGTAGTTTGCCTATTAGCCAGAAAAATAGCCAGAGCTTACCTACAAGATTTCCCCCCTATTGACTTCAATGGAATTCACCTCTAAGTTCGGGTTTGCTAAAGTTTGAACAAGATTCACCGAATCCTTCGCTGAATCAAAC